TGGTTGAGCTCCGGATGAAGTGCCTGGCACTCATCAGTGATGTGAAGCGTGTGAAGCCATCGGAGGCTAGTTGCGAGGAATTGCTGACGGAGCTGAACCGGGACGCCTACTTTCGTGAGCAGTGCTGGCCGCCCTCTGCGGCGCAAACACTGGGCCAGATGACCCATGTCAGAACAGCGTTAATCGAACTACAACGGACTGCGGAAGCTGTCCAGGCGATGGCCGAGGCACACCGAGACGCGATACAGCTGGCTCAAACCGTGGCATCTTCGGTGTGTGCTGAGACAGCAACTTGGAGGGCCCAGATTGTGGCTCTGAAGAAGGCAAGAGATTTAGAGCAGAAGGAGTTAGAAAGGGAGCAGAAGCGTGAGGAGAGAAGAGCAGCGGCAAAGGCAAAGTCTGAAGCCAGGAAAGCAGAAAGACAGGAAGCAAGGCAGAAAGCCAAGCAGGAAGCGGCGGCTGCTGCCGCCGCAGCGGCACAGAAGGGTGAGGCCGACGCGGCCGCGGCCCCTGGACCTGAGCCAGCGCCCGGCGGCGCGAAACGGCGCCCGAGGAGGAGCTCGGAAGTGTCTGAGAAGGATCCTGCTCTTATTCAGTGCCTTGCAGGCCCAGCATGGCCAAAGGATTGCATCCTAGATTGCTTCGACAGCGTCAATGACCTTGCGGATCACATTGTGAAGACGAGTGGCATGTTGGCGGGGGTCGCTCGATTGCGGCGGTCAGCTACGAAGAAAGTTTTAGAGGTGTGTTCCTTAGTTGCCGCCGTTGCCGCTGCCAGTGTCAGTCTCATAGAGGCCTGCGGCCTGCGCAGTAGTGTATCTTCGCCCAGGCAACTCCAGGAGTCCCGCCAGATATTGTGAAAGCCACGAATAAGATGCTGGGTCACGATGTGGCGTCCTTTGCGTCCGACTTTGAAGCGAAGCTGCAGGCGAACCCGCAGTGGGAGCGACAGCTTCGGATGATCGAGGGACCGATGGACGTCTTTGGGCTAGATCTGGTTGTGCAGAAGCACTGCGACGACAAGGAAGTTGATTCTCTGCAATTCCTCGACAGGCCCACTATGTCTGCGAGGCCTGATTGTTTTCTGCACATGCTTTTTTATCGGTGTCGACAATTTCGAGAATCCAGTCCGAGTCCGAGTCGTCGAAATTGAGGGGCAGTAGTTGGAAGAGGTAATGGTACAGTTACAGTTACAGACTATACTAACAGTGAACAAGAAACTTGAACCCACATAACAGAACGGCAGTGCAAATCGTGTTCCTGTTAAGCAACAATGTTACTGTCAACCTTTGCTGAGTGCAGGTTCTCCGAATTGGGAGAGTCAGACGAGATGAAGTTGAAGAGCAAGCTTCGCTTTGCCGGGCTTACCTTGAGCGCAATTGCTCAAGGCTCTTGCTATGCAGGCTTCATGCCAGTAGGATTGCCGGTTGTTTGCACCCATCTTACTCACGAGAAGCTCTTCTGCACGATCGACCTCGAAGAGGCAATCCAGTGGTACTGCCAGGAGAAAAACTTGGAAATTGCTCGCGAAAATGCCCCGCCGCTCAAGGACCCAATGCTTGCGCATGCTCCGGCTGCAGAAACTCAGAATGCCATGTTTTTGTTTGCTTGCCAGGAAGTGATGAAGTTTGTAGCCGGCCAAACATTCGAGTCGGATGATGGCACTAGTGCCCCCTGCGGAATGGTGACACTCAAGGGCACCAAACTCCTGCCTGGAGATGTTCTTTATCTGCCGCCTTGCCAGGTGGTTGTGGAGAAAGCCATTCAGGGGGTGAATATGGCCATCAGGGCCACCCCAATCTTTGCGCACCCGCGTGCCTATGAGCTCTACAAGCTGTATCGAACGGTGCATTCTGGGCCCCTGGGATTTTTCTTCGCCAGGCTTTTCACCAGACTTGTTGTCTTAAGGTCTTTGTGTTTTCAGTCACCGCATGCTAGCCAAGGGATTTCCACGCGAAAGTCATGTCCGAAGAGCTGCGCAAGCTGGTTTTCCCCGCGCCGTTGTCGTTTGCAGAGGCAGTGGGCAAGGCGTGTTCCGAGCCGCTCATGCTACCAGGCCCTGTCGTTGCCAAACTGCAGGAGGACGGAACCATAGTCCCGACAAGCGCTGTCGGGCTGAGCGACGATTTCCTGAACAGCTTCGTGCACATGGGGGATGCCGAGAGACGGGAGCTCATTATGGATATGGAAGATGAGGAACTCCACCAGCACGTGGAGGCGGCCAAGGCCCACAGCCTTTTTGGCGAGCATAAACACTACGTCATCACGGAGCTCATGGCAGGCGACATGGAGTCGGATGATGAATGGACCTTCGGTGACCCTCAAGGAGATGTGCTTGAGGACCTTTGCGGTTGGTACGATTATCTCCAGGCTCGCAACGCCAAGACCATGACCATGACCAAGGCCACCAAAAACAGTGTTGCAAACAGTGACATAAACATATTGGAGCAGAGATGTTGTTCCCTAAAAATGCCCATAAGCCACACCCTTCCATGGTATTCTTGTGTTCAGACTTTTTGACACCTGTCCCAGAGGCACCAGAGCCGGAGAAGCAGCCGACGACGCCGACGACTACGACTCCGACAATAATCTTCCCGGACCTTGAAGTTGATGGGAAATCATCCGAGCCGGACGAGCAGCAGTCCGAGACGACCCTGCCAGAGAATGCCACGGGCCACATCCACATGGAGAAGCTGCCGACGACGACTATGACTTCGACAACACCTACCCCGGACCTTCAAATGCCAGCAGGCCAGACGAACGTGAAGGGTGATGAGAAATCCAAGCCAGAGGAGGCCCTGCCCCTGCCGGCGAATGCCGCCAGCATCGATATGGAGAAGCAGCCGACGACTCCGACTACGACTCCAACAACACCGGCCCAGGAAGTGAAAGCAGCCCTGCCGGACGTGAAGCGTGATGGGAAATCCGAGCCAGAGACGTCCCTGCCGAAGACTGCCGCCAGCCACAACGACATCGCCGTGGAGAAGCAACCGACGACACCGACTACGACTCCCACAGCACCGGGCCCGGAGGAAGCGAAAGCAGCCCGGCCGGACGTGAAGGGTGATGGGAAATCCGAGCCAGAGACGTTCCTGCCGAAGAATGCCGCCAGCCACAACGACATCGCCGTGGAGAAGCAGCCGACGACACCGACTACGACTCCCACAGCACCGGGCCCGGAGGAAGCGAAAGCAGCCCTGCCGGACGTGAAGGGTGATGGGAAATCCGAGCCAGAGACGTCCCTGCCGAAGAATGCCGCCAGCCACAACGACATCGCCGTGGAGAAGCAGCCGACGATTCCGACTACGACTCCAACAACACCGGCCCAGGAAGTGGACGCAGGCCTGACAGACATGAAGGGTGATGGGAAATCCGAGCCAGAGATGCCTCTGCCGGAGAAGGCCGCCAGCCACAACGACATCGCCGTGGAGAAGCAGCCGACGATTCCGACTACGACTCCAACAACACCGGCCCAGGAGGTGGACGCAGGCCTGACGGACATGAAGGGTGATGGGAAATCCGAGCCAGAGATGCCGCTGCCGGAGAAGGCCGCCAGCCACACGGAGACGCAGCCCAAGACGAATCCGACAGAAGCCCCGCTGTTGGACTACTCGACAGCTCCGACAGTGTTGATGTCGCAGCAGCAGATCATGCCCGAGAAGAGTGAATCGATTGATCCAAGTCACAAACTCGAGAAGAATGCGCTGGAAGCTCTGATGGCGCAGCAGGCAGGGTCTAAGGTCAGGGTTTCGGGTTGAGGCATAATTGGGTTTTAATTACAATGAGGGCTTTGGGGTTCAGGATTTAGGGTTTAGGGTTTTACCCCGCTCGCAGTACTTGCGTGCTCCGAACTCGTCACTATTGGGGTTTTTCTTGGAAGCGCTTTTGACTTAGCAAGTTTGCTTAGTAACCAGTGCCAGTAACCTCTCCATAACCCCATTATAATCAGCCCAGAACCCACCTTACCACCCACGCTTCCTAAGTCAAATGCGCTTCCAAGTAGGGCTTGGTGTTCAGGGTTTAGGCTACGGGTCTAGGGTTTAGGGCCGGTTGAGGGTTTAGGGTTTAGGGTTTAGGGTTTAGGGTTTAGGGTTTCGGGTTTAGGGTTTAGGGTTTAGGGTTTAGGGCTACCGGTCTGCCGGTTTGGGCTTGGTGTTCAGGGTTTAGGCTACGGGTCTAGGGGTTTGGGGTTCCCCGAAATCCTCACACGCCAGGCGTGCGACCAGTCCAAGCGCAAGGCTCATGATTTATTTTGCCTGCTGAGCTAGTGCTGTGGTGTGGTCAGTCTGTTTCTCAACAGAGGTGGGAAGGAAGCAGGACGACGACCAGTCAAAGCCAAAAAAGGCGACTGCGGGGGCTCGTGGGGTGGCCATGACTTCATGATTGATGCGTGCTGACAATCTGGCAGGACAGAAAGTCATCGCCGAAGGCGAAAGCTAAAGCAAAAGCGAAACCCGTTGCCACCGCTCCAAAAGGGAAGCGTTCTAGAGAGCACGAGTCTCCTGTCCCGAGTGGACAACTTAGCAAGTTTCTTAAGAAGGGTCGATGAGCTGATGAGCTTCAGCCAGACCAGACAGACCAGATGGCAAGTTTCTCTCAAGAAAGGTTGAGGAGCTTCAGCCAGACAGCAGATGCGCGATGAGGGGAAACAGCCATCCTTGCAGTTTGTGTTTTCTTGGTTCCCCCCCCCACCCCCAAGCCCCAAGGAACATGTCGACATGCTGAGTTTATCTTGTTGCGTTGGGTTTACGTTGTTATTTCAAAGCATTTCGACAGATGCTGGTTTCATTGTTTTTGGGAATAGTCTCCCAAAGCAGAATCCTTAATTTCAGCTGGGTTCCTTTCATTTCCTTAATTTCGGTGAATATTGAAATTTAGCAGCAGCAGCTCTGAAGGAACAATATCTTGCTGACCAGGTTGTGGTTGGGTATGTCTCAAGCTCCAGAAATGGAGCAGACCTCGGGACAAAGTCCGTTCCATTGCAGCGACTTCAGGAGTTGATGCAAGTGTTGGGGCTGGGTTCCTTGAAGGACCAAGGCACGTTGTCCCCCGCACCTGTCGCTAATCAGAGCGGAGTCTCCGTCAGCCAAAGGGCATTGGTTTCAGTGGTGCTGTTGCTGTGCGCGACAGAGGCCGAAACAGTCAGGACTGAGCCTGACCTGAGTTCGGAAAGGGAGTGGGACTTCACTATCTTCATATGCATGGTTGCGGTGTGCAGCATTGTTGTTTGGGAAGCCTTGAAGTGGTTGCTCAGGAAGGGAATTTGGACTTTTTGGGTTAAGTTATGGGGAAACCGTGACATCGAAGAACCCGAAGCAGAGCTAGACACACTCAGCGAAGTGCAGCCTGATCATGAGGATGATCTTCGAGAGCTTCCCCAAATAGGCCCACCAATCCCTCGCCCCCATGAAGAGCCCGAACGACAAATTGCTCAGATGCCAGTCCCGCAAGAGGTGATAAGGTATGTAGATGACGAGGTGTTAATCTTCGCTGAGAGGGCACAAGCTCAAGAGTTTGAAAGGCTCACGCGGGTTGGGGCTATTGAGGCCGGACTTCGAAATCGGAATCTAGGCCAACGCATTTACCGAGAAGAACCAGATATTGAACCACCAGAGGCTCCGCCTTTGCCGCCAAGGCCTGTACAAAGGGCAGACAGCGAAGGGGTTCACCGCGAGGCGGACGCCCGAAGTCAGCGTGAACAGATTGCTTTTCCTCAAGCACCTCTGAGACCTCATCTAGTGTGGCCAGTTCCTGTACAGCTTCCGAACCACGAGGTGCTGAGAACAGCTAGCCCTTGGGGAGGACCTTTGAGTGCCGTCTTCCAAGTCCCTCCAGCAGGAGTCCGAGATCACTTCATCTACGACGCTCACCGCCGTCCAAATGTCTTGATCCGGTGGCATGGGATGCCGAGATTGCGCTTGTTCTGTCCGTCAGACGCGCGCCTACCAGAGGTCATTCGAAGACAATCCTTGACGGGCAGAAGGAGGACGCTGATCGTTCATGCTGACGGTCGCACCGAACTCCGCGATGATCGTTTTGATGATCCCACCAACGCAAGGCATTGCTATGACAATGCTTGGCGTGGAAGAACCGAGCTTGAATTGCGTCCAGAACAGAATGAGTGAGCCACCGCGGGAGATCTCGACGAATGTGCCTCATTTTGAGGCAGGGGGAGAGCGAAAGCCCCTGGGCGTCAGGTATCTCGCCAGCATCGGGTCATCGGGTCTTGGCATGCATCTATGTTGTTCTGCGGCTTTAGGCCCAGACACAGCACATGTGAGATGACAAAACATTTAAGTGTACAGAGTCAACATCACACGCTTTTCCAAATAAGCTTCAAAAGAAGAAGTCAAACACCGAGAGCTTTCTTTGCTGCTTGGGTCTGAAAACCGTCCGTGAGTGCTTGAGCCGAGCTCTAACCCACAAGGTAATTACTATTCCATAATTGAGGAGTATTGGAGTCCCTGCGGAGAGAGAGAGAGAGAGAGAGAGAGAGAGATGTTGCATGTTTTTCCTGGAGATCCGTAGCAGGGAGGAAACACACACACACAACGTTCACAATGGCATAACCTGTAGTTTCACGTTTGATTGATGTTCCACGTCTCCTCCCAGTTTTCATCCCGTCCCCAATCACACGGGGGGGGGGGGGGGGGGAAGGGTCTCACACACCGATCTGTAACGCATGCCCCTTGGGGCGGCTCCCTTCGGGGGGCCTTACACGCTGGAAGGAAGGAAAAGAGGGAGAGAGAGAGAGAGAGAGATAGAGTGAGAAAGATAAAGAGAAAGAGATAGAGAAAAAGATAGAGAAAGAGAAGGATAAAGAGAAAGAGAAAGATAAGAGAGGTAGAGAGAAAGAGAGAGAGAGAAAAAAAAAAAAAAAAAAAAAAACGAGAGAGAGAGAGAGAGAGAGAGAGAGAAAGAGAGAGTCTAAGCGCTTAGATCGCGAGGACTTCCTCGCGACGCAGCACGGCACCAGCCCGGGCGAGACAGCAGCGGTGGGCGTCCTCGTTTCCTGGACCGCAAAGCCATCTCAAAACAGCGCTAGGGTTCATGTGCAAGGTTTAGGGTTATAAGGGGTAGAATGAGGGTTATGAGGGTTTGTTTATATAAGGGTTATAATAAGGATTATAGTAAGGGAGGGTTATAATAAGGGTTATGAGGGTTCTAAGAGTTATCAGGGTTATGAGGGTTTTAAGCGTTTGAAGGCTTACTGGGCTTAAGCAGGCTTCGGGTTACCAAATATCGTGGTACCCTAAACCCTAAGGCCCTAAACCCTAAACCCTAAACCCTAAACCCTAAACCCTAAACCCTAAACAGGATCCTCCGAGGGTCCTGGGATACGGCTTTTTTTGGGGGTTGGGGGTGGACACTCCAACACCCCTTAAATCCCCATTAAGGGGTTTAGGGTTTAGGGTTTAGGGTTTAGGGTTTAGGGTTTAGGGTTTAGGGTTTAGGGTTTAGGGTTTAGCCATGCAGGGAACCCTGTTACAGTTTCAGGAATAATCCTTAAGGGGTATTGGGGTCCCCGGGGAGCCCACAACCTGAAGATCATTTGGTTGGTTTAGGGTTTAGGGTTTTGGGTTTTGGGTTTTGGGTTTAGGGTTTTGGGTTTAGGGTTTAGGGTTAGGGGTAAGGGAGCTCCTTATGAGATCCGTGCGAAGAAAGCCCTGAAAACCTCAAACCTGCACTATGGCCTGGTCAGGGCAAACTTTAGGCTTTTTTGGGTTTAGGGCTAAGGCGGGGTTAAGGGTTTAGGGTTTAGGGCAAAGGTTTAGGGTTTAGGGTTTCGGGTTTGGGGTTATTGTCAAGGGTTTAGGGTCAAGGGTTTAGGGTTTAGGGTTTAGGGGTCGACCTTGAGGAGCCATTGACAGGTTAGAGGGTGTGGCTTTCTTCAACCAAATGCCTTCAAGAGTTAGCCTCACCCAAGCCCTAACCCCAACACCCCAAACCCTAAACCCTAAACACCCCAAGCCTTTCCTAAAGGCTCTTACAAAGTACCCTGCAAGGATAGTTTCCAGGAAGCCCCTGTATCGAACCCAAAAAAGGAACTTCATTGGAGCCTTCGGGTGGACCCTTAAACCCTAAACCCCACACCCTTAAGGCCTCTAAACCCTAAACCCTAAACCCTAAACCCTAAACCCTAAACCCTAAACCCTAAACCCTAAACCCTAAACCCCACACCCTTAAGGCCTCTCCTTCCCGGCTCGTTGCCTTCCCAGGCTTTTGGCCTTTTGGTGGAAGGCCGGGGCGTTTAGGGTTTAGGGTTTAGGGTTTAGGGTTTAGGGTCTAGGGTTTACGGCTGGCCTTCGAAGTGGAGCTCCACCGTAAACCCTCTAAGCCCCGCGCAAGCACCATAAACCCTAAACCCTAAACCCTAAACCCTAAACCCTAAACCCTAAACCCTAAACCCTAGAAGCCCGAAAAAGCCCCAAAGCGTAAAGAGACATCGAACCGAGTCACCGAGGGGGAGCGTTGTAACAAAAGCTTTCGTCGGACCAGTCCATGAACAACTTCTTCGTGTACACCGCATGTGTTCAAGAATCTCGTAACTCAACAATATTCAGGGCTTTGTCAAAAACTCCCTTCGGAAGCTTTTCACCCAGCTCCCCAACAAGCAGCCACAAGCCCTTGGGTAAACCCTGAAAACCCCCCTAATCTGTGCTGCAATTCGTCACCCTTTTGTCTCCCCTAGGCTTCCTGGTCCGCAAATCCCCTTCTTTTCTGCCCCAAGCCCAATACCCGGTACCTGCACTTCTCCCCCTAAACCCTAAACCCCCTAACCCTCCAAAACCCTAAACCCTGCACCCGCTGAGAAACTCTGCGCCCGAACCCTGGCTTTCGGGAGGCTGCTTCGCAGCAGAGCAACTCGTGGATGAAGCCGAGTCGCGGGGCTATCCTTGGGGTTGTGGGCTGTAGGGGTTTAAGGGTTTAAGGCCTTGGGTTTTGGGTTTAGGGTTTAGGGTTTAGGGTTTAGGGGCTTAGGATTTAGGGGTTCCAGGGTTTAGGGTTGTAGTGGGTTCGGGGGTTAGGATAGTGAAGTTAGTTTTGTGCCAGTTAAGGAGCGACGGGGGTTTTCTCGAATCTGCAGAATGAGTTGTGGAATTACTCACCTCAAGCCCCGAAGCCCTTCAACCCCAAAACCCTGCACCCTAAACCCTAAACCCTAAACCCTAAACCCTAAACCCTAAACCCTTACATTTAAGGGGTTCTTGCCGTCTCCGGGCACTTTAGGAAAAACCCTCACAGCCCTCTCGGGAGCTGCAGGAAAGACCTGAATAAGGGTCGTTCGGATTTGAAAGGCTTCAACCCTAAGGCGGTTGAGGATAGGGTTTAGGGTTTAGGATTTAGGAAGGGCTTAAGGGTTTGAGGGTTTGGGATCTAGGGTTGAAGGGTTTAAGGGTTGAAGGGCTTAAGGTTTTAGGGTCTACGGGTTGAAGGGCTTAAGGGCTTTAGGGTTGGACGGTTTTTCAAAACAAGGACTTACGGGTTGAAGAAAGTAAGGATTTCCGGGTTTAGGCCTACGGACCCTGAACAGGTCCATCTGGCAGGAGGTGCTCCTGCTGTCTGAGGCTTCACCCGAGGCGGGGCCCGCCGTCGGTTCAACAACGACTCCCCGGGTTTAAGGTTTAGGGTTCAGGGTTTAGGGTTTAGGGTTGAGAGCGGCCTGTCATGGGGCCTGCGTTTTCCATGGTGCATGTTTTGCGAATGTGCGTGCACCCAGCATAAAAGTCGCGATTTTTCGTCGAAGCAACCCATGTCGACGATGTTATTGTGAGCAAAGCTTTTGGTTGAAGCCTGCTACACATGCTGAGTGGGATATGTTTCGTGAACCGAAGTGTTGGATGAACAGGAGTCGAAGTGTTGGATGAACAGGAGTCCACATGCCAGAAGAGCGGGGGGGGGGGGGGGGAAAAATTTTTCGGACCCAAATCCTAAACCTTAGTCTTTTACGGTTTGGGCCAAAAAATATTGTTGGACCCTACTCCTAACCTTATTCGTTTAAGGTTTCGGCCGTATATTTTACTCGCTGAACCTCATGCCTGAAGCTCATTTGCTTAATACACAGCCCAAACCCTATTCCTAACCGTCCAAGATTTAGGTCCAAGCCTTATTCGTCTAAGATTGACTGAATAAAATCAAAGTCTAGACGAAAAAAACAATGCGTGAGCCGTCTCCTTAAGCAATGCCACAAAGTTCAGGACTTGCCTCCTGTGGAATGCAAAGAGCATGGAGAATAACTGCCCACTTGAGTATGTACATACGGTGTATGTATTGTATGCAAAAGGTAGAAATTTCTACCCACTCAATAGAGAAATGGAGATGCGAAGAACTCCTAGGAAGTGTTTGAGGGCATAGGGTGATGCGAAAAATACAGTATATGCACGTCTCAGGGAAGCGAGAATACTGTGAGTCAAATACCCTTTGACTATGCACTTGCCCAACAGCCCGACTTACTCGCAAGTAATTTGTGGGTTTTCATCTCAATATATCCTCAAAGGTCTCCAAAAGTACCCATTTCTCAAGGATAAGACTCACACGTAAACTATCCTCAAGACACAAGCAAGCAACTACTAAACCCTACTCATTCAAAAGTTTAGATTTTCTAAGCAACTTATTCGATTTAAGACCTAGGGTCAGACGCTATCCAATATATTTATTATGCATGCTTGTTTAAGGTTTAGGGACATACACATACCTTGTTCCCAAACCTATTCCTTTAACATTTGGGGATGTTGTGCCAGACAAGTAGGTCTATTTGGTCCAGATTCCTAAACCCACCTGGCGTTGTAGGAGATGGGAGAAGGGGAGACTCTTGGGCTGATAGCTTGATTCTTGAACCCTACTTGCTGAACCCTATGCCTATGCCTGAAGTTTTTTCGTTTCATGCTTCTGCCAAACCCTATTCCTAAACCTTATTCGTTTAAGACCTAGACCTTATCCGTTTTAAGATTTAGTGAATAAAATTAGTGTTCAGGGGAACGTTTTCGCCGAAGCAAGAGCGAGTAAGAACGTTGATGCTCGATGCTTGAATCCGCGGAAGGGAGGGGTGGGAGGGCGGGGGGGGGGGGGGGGAGGGCGGGGGGGGGAGTCTCAGCCTCAACACCCAAGACCCCCCCCCCCCCCC